AAAATTGGGCAGAGTGGAGTCGGAATTGATCGCCCAAATTGCATTCGGCTCATCGGAAGCCTTCCTGCCGCCGTGAGTAGTCTCATCCCGATCAGAAACGACACAAACGCGTCGATCGCTCCGTATTCAATCTGTTCGAAGCTCAGCTCTTCTCGGATGCCAACACCCACGAAGGTGACGAACGGGTCGCGAAGGAAGAGGCGTAGGGCACAAGGCATGAAGTCCCTCTTCAGAATTTGGAAAATCAAGCAATTTTTCCCAATGCACAACTGGAGTGTGGCGACGGGGTTGGTCTCCCATGGCTTGCAAGGGTGCCACTCGATGTCGAGGCCGACGAGGAGGTTGGAGAGTCCAACGCCTCGGCGGTAGTAGCAGACAGTGGCGGTAATCCAACGGTCGACCTCGGAAGCGCACTTCGTGACGGTAACGTTTAGACTCGAATCGTGAAAAAAAAAACGTTATGGAGAGTGGCTGCCATTGTTGTAAGGTATGAATTCTCAGTGAAGTAAGAAAACATGAGCTATAGTGCCAATCCAAGTAGTGAGTCCTTTATTTATAAAGAGTACAAATTTTGCTAGTTAAAACCTAATCAAACTAGGAGAAGGAGAACAATGATAATTACTTGAAGTGGAAGGAATGAAGTATTTTTTAAATTCTGTTTCCAAAAGTAGTTTTCATTATATCTAATTCCCTCTAATAAATGATACGGAGTACATTTATAATTGATGCTAACTGAAAATAAAATTAGGCAACTAACCCATCCAAACCAAAAACTATTCAAATTCAATCTCAGCTCGGAAATACTCAGTTTTTTAACAATTCCAAATTTAAGTTTAGTGTAACGCATGAGCCATGAAGCAGGCAAGCACAAATTATCCAACCCCACAATCTTTTATTATGTAATTATGAAATAAAATGAAAAATTTATATAAATAAAAATATAAAATGGATTTCTTTTATTATGTAATTTTGCAATGTTGCACAAATATGTTTCTTTGACACAACATTAACTTACATTGAATTTGAGTGTATTAAATACTCTATTAATGTTAAAAAATTCATTTTAATAATCTATTTTCTATTAAATACTCCGTAATAATAATCTATTTACTAGTCTACTTTATTAAAAGTTGGCATAAATAAAATTATAAAATGGACTTTTTTCCATTGTAATTTTGTAATATTATATGTTTATATATGTTTCTTTGATACGAAATTAACTGGCAGTGAATTTTAGCTCCCTAATTACATTATTAAACGATATGAACTCAATTTATTTATGCAGTATTTATTTATATTTGTAAAGTGATCTACGGAGTATTTAGTATTACACTTTATAAATTTTTAAATTATGAACAATTCAATTTTGCTATACTAATAATGTAAATTTTAAATTTACGTTATGAGAATTTGAAAATATCAGATCATCACATAATATGTCCTGATATGATTTTTAATTTTCCTCTACACTTATAATGTAGTTACTTCTCTCTCTCTTTTTTTGATCAGGTAGTTACTTGCTTACTTCTCTTTAATATTATTGAATGCCACTAAATAATTGAATGCTCTTTTTTCTATTTTAAAGATATACTCCGAACAGTATAATTACGCTGAAACAATACTGATTTACCAAGATACAACAACAACAACAACCCAGTTGAATCCCACTACAGTAGGGTCTGGGGAGGGTGTGTGTACGCAGACCTTGCCTCTACTCGGAAGTAGGGAGGCTGTTTCCAAGAGACCCCCGGCTCAACCTGCACAAAAATATGGTATTGATTTACCAAGATATTATGGGTTTTCCAATGATACGTAGATTCATGTTATTTTTGTTATCATGTAGATCCATGTTAATTTTGTTGTCATGTAGATTAATAAATATTCTTTATTACGGAGTATTTTAAGTTTCAAAAATTAAAATTTGGCCACTTCTCTTTCTCTCTCTATTATATTTTATCAACTTTTTTTTTAAATTTAATTTTTTTATAATTACTCTGTATTAATTTATTAATTATTTTTCAATTATTCCACTCTACCTTCCTAAATATTCTCTATTACTTTAAGTTTCAAAAGATGGATATTTAATTATTTTTATGACTCACACATATTACTACTATTTCTTATACTTTTTTACATTAAGTAATGTTTTATTTCTTAATTTGCATGTCACTATTCCATGTACCAAAAAAAGTAAGACAAGGAGAATTATATTTTAATTTATATTAATAAAATGAAAATTTTACTTAAATTTGAAATAAAATGAAAAATTGACATAAATAAAATGGACTTCTTTTCTATTGTAATTTTGCAATGTTGCACAAATATGTTTCGTTGAAACAACATTAACTTACACTGAATTTGAGTGTATTAAATACTCTCTTCATGTTAAAAAATTCATTTTAATGATCTATTTACTATTAAATACTCCGTAATAATAGTCTATTTACTATTCTACTTTATTAAAAGTTGGCATAAATAAAATTATAAAATGGACTTTTCTCAATTGTAATTTTGTAATATTACATAATTATGTTTCTTTGAAATGACATTAACTGGCAGTGAACTTTAGCTCCCTAATTGCATTATATTAAACGAAATGAAGTCAATTTATTTATGTAGTATTTATTTATTTTCGTAAAGTGATCTACGGAGTATTTAGTATTACACTTTATAAATTTTTAAATTATGAACAATTCATTTTTGATATACTAATGTAATTTTTAAATTTACGTTATGAGAATTTGAAAATATCAGATTGTCACATAATATGTCCTAATATGATTTTTAATTTTCCTCTACACTTAAAATGTAGTTACTTCTCTTTAATATTATTGAATGCCACTAAGTAATTGAATGCTCTTGTTTCTTTTCCCTCTAAAAAATTAAATAAATTATATCGTACATCAAGATGTACTTATTGGTTTCGTGTGTATTTATCCTTAAATTATAAATAAAATATTACAAGTGCACTTCAATTTGAAAAGAAACTATTGCGAAAAGTATACACTAATTGATACTAATTAAATGAATGAATGAAATTTTCAACAAAAAAAAAATGAATGAATGAAAATAAGTAGAGCCGGCGAATTGGTCATTTGGGTCATGTTCAGATTCGGTAACTTCGAGTTAGCATGATATAACTTATATCAAATTCGAGTACGTTAAGATTCATTGAATTGTATGTTAATGATTCAGTGTCATCGAATCAACAGGTTATAAGATTTATATTTTGAAAATTTAAATTAATACTAGCAATTACATTTTGCACTAAAAATCTAAAAAATATACTACCTCCGTCCTAAAAAGATTTACACGTTTTGACTAAAGTTGAAATTAAGGGAGGGATAATTTTGTGTTGACTTTCCAAAAATACCCTTGATGTGATGGGTAAAAGTAGGATGTGATGTGTAGATTATTAGGAAAAAGGTATGATGTGATAGGTAGGGTTTGAAAAAGTAAGAGGTAAAAGTGGTTTTTTAATAGAAATGGGTAGGAGATATGATTGTGGGACGCAATTTTTTTGAAAGGTGTAAATCTTTTTGGGACGGAGGGAGTATTATTTATAGAGTAAATGAGGCTCAATAGGTGCATGGAAGCTGCTCACTTAAGGACAAACAATAAGACAGCATCCATCACTATGCAATCAGAATATATGGATTGAAATAAAAATCTAGGATGGTGCCAAAGGACTTTTCCACACTGATCTCTTGAGTGACGGGTGTGGGTCCCTCCGCTGATCTCCTAGATACTATGGTTTGGGGGTGGTGGATTCGTCCGACCGTGATCTATAGGTCGAAACCCAAAAGTAAGACTGGTCAAATTGTACGGAGCCCGAAACTTCATTCCTCAAAGCTTTATAGAAAGTCCAAGATAGTGACCGGGGACGAAACCGGAGGGTGACCGGTCACCTATGCCTCTTCTAAACTAGCTTCCAAAGTTCATCTTTGAAGACCGAAATCGTGACCGGTCACCTAATTCCCGGGGTGACCGGTCACCTACCGCCGGGAGCAAAAAACGCTTATCTTGTCGAGTCCGGAAAAGTGGGACCGTGACCAGTCACCTTAATTTGGGGGTGATCGGTCACCTAGCGCCATGCCCTAAATAGCCGACTTGCCGAGTCTGGAAAAGTGGACCCGTGACCGGTCACCTTAATTCGGCAGTGACCGGTCAACTAGACTGATTTGTATTAGCTAACAGATTTCACGTCACCATGTCTCATTCTATTTTTTACTTACGATTATAGATGCTCTTACTTTATTTTCTAGAAGAGTAAATTCCATAATTGGTCCTTTATAATATGGGGGTTTCCCTATTTAGTCCTCTATTATCAAATATTACCCTAGTGGTCCTTCTTTTATGGGTATTTTTCCAAAAATAGTCCTTTTTTGATCTTCTATCATGTTGGTGTTAATTTGAGGGCTAAAAGTATAATTTCACAATGATAATATATCGTTTTTGTCATACACAATTCCAAAAGTTGTTCCATTTGCGTCGATTGTAAATTACATTTGCTTTATACTACAACCATAGTCTACAAATATGGTCTTCCGTCGGAATCCTAGCCCACAATCATAGTCATTATTTTTGTGTTATTCGCTTAACCAATATCAGAACACGTCACTAGACATAATGTTGATGTCAAATTATACTTTTAACCTTTAAATTAACACCTACATGGCGGAAGATCAAAAAAAGGACCATTTGTAGAAAGGCACCCTTAAAAAAAGGACTACGAAGGTAATATTTGATAATAGAGGACTAAATATGAAAACCCCCATGTTATAAAAGACCAATTATAGAATTTACTATTTCTAGAATCTAGACACGCATTGGTTTCAAAAACGCAAAAAGTAGCATTTCAAATACAACTGTGATTGTTGGAATAAAATGTATTAACTAGCTCAAATTTTGTATTACATGATTAACTCCTATATATAGAAAATTAAAAACAAGTAACAACCAAAAATATCTTCCTAACTAACAAATAAACTATGTAACTAATCATGCTAAATGGTTGATTACACCAACACCCCCCCCCTCAAGTTGAAGGTGGGAACAACTTCAACTTGCAACTGAATCAAATCTCTGTTGACTTTGATGTGACTTTGATGTGTATGTAGATGAAAGTCCATTGACAGTGGAAGAGGCATAAACAATAAGCTTCTCGTTTAGGATCCTTGCTTTTGCAGTATTTGTCAGTAGATTGTGAAAGAAATCCAAAACTTGGATTTGCCATATATCCATCTCCTTAGGTATCAACTGCTGTTGTTGAGCCATACAATAGTGTCTTTTCCACACATTCCCTCTTAGAACACACAAATGTATTTTTAGACAATGAGGCAATATATGACATCTGTAGGCAGTCCCTAGACATTGAGAGGCCAACTTACAGCAACCTGAATCATTTGATATCGCAAATCATCTCTTCATTAACATCGGGTTTGCAAGCTACATAACAGTGGAGAGAATTTTCTCCATAATTTCAGGCTTGGCAACCCAAAAAAATCCCTTGATTCTGAAGTTGAGAGACACAACTCTCTATTGAATGGGAAAAGCAATGCTTTTGACTGTAGATAACATCATTCCCATGTCCAGAGATAAAATTTGAAGACAAGAGGTGATAGTGATGGCTGCCATGGTTCTCTAGAATGAACAGAAAAGTAAACCATACACAACCGATGATGAAGATGAGATGACAAATCAATTGATGAATTCAAATGAAAACATCAAATGATGAAATGAAACCAATTGACAAAAGCAATTGATGAAATCAACCGAAAATCGGATGATGATGAAGGGGAAACTCGATCAAAACGATACGAGTGAAGCTCAATCAAACTGAATGAGTGAAATTGAATAATGATGAAACTTATGAATTTCAAAAGTGAAGGAAAATGATTGAACGAAACATTTCAATCATGACTCATGAGAATGAGAATGAAATTGGATACTCAATCTGAGAACCAATATAATGAACAGGGGATCAATAAGGATCAGTTATGATGAAGATGAAACAGAGATGGCAAAGTCAAAAATGAAGAATATGTTTTGAATTTATTCAATCTCTGATGAAATCTGATGAGGATGAAATCAGATTGACAATGATATTCATGTCATAAAACTGAATTAATGGAAGACAGAAACTCAAATGCAAGAATTACAATTTTGCATTTGATAATGATGAATCTGATTTGCATTCTATGGAGCACAACATAATGAACATGACCTGAATTAGAGAGATAAAAAGGCAAAGGAATCTGACGGCAACGAAGATAGTGAGATGATGAAGGTGTTGCTGCCGGTGAAGGTGGATCTGATCCTGGTGGAGTGCGAGGGAGAAGAGACCTCAGACGGTGTAGTTTTGCCTCGGATTCAGAATTGACAGTGAGATTGCGGAGAGATGGACCGGGACGAAGCCTATTGAGGCCAAGGATAGAGAGGTGCAAGGAGACAACGTGGCAGATGAGAGTGCCGGTAACTCCTCCCCCCAAATCTTATTCGGATCTCCATCGGATGAAGAAGTTGCAGTACTAGAGGAAGAAGACTGGAGATCCTTCAATCGGTGATTAATGTCATCGAGGAGACCATTGATCTGTCCCGATTGTGAAGCGTAGCCGAATAGATATGTCTTAAGCTGCTTGTTCAGATTCGAGAGACTTCGGTCGAGATCATCACACTGATTCCGGAGCTCCGAAAGAAGATCCAGAGCCCGTTCAAGGTCTTCTACGGTGCTGAGCTTCGCATTGAGTCAGTGAAAACGGCTTCTCCGCCGTCGACGAGATCGTACAAGAGGTCGGAGGTGACAATCGCTTTGATAGAGAGACCGTGGCTTTTCTTCTCAGAGTTGTCAACATATTGAGTCCATCTCTAGCCTCTGGACGGAATAACGTGATGTAATTGACGATTCAGCTTCTTTGTAGACGAAAATCCCTAGGATCGAAATTGAAGATGGAGAGAAGAATTGGGAAACGTAATGGTGCGCGAGAGAAATTCGAAGATAAGGAGTCGATTGCTTGGAGCTTAGCAACAGAGCTTAGCAACTCCTGTATATAGAAAATGAAAAACAAGTAACAACTAAAAATATCTTTCTAACTAACTAACAAACTATGTAACTAATCAACTAAACAAATGCTAAATGGTTGATTACACCAATAGGGATCAGTCCCCACGCACAGTGGAACTGTGGGAATCTTGAACAACCTCCGGCGCCACGGCAGCAGTTTGCTGATCTCCGGCGATCATCTTGGGTGGAGGGTAAAAAGGATTGTTCAAAGCATTATCCCCACCACTGACGTAAACAACCCTAAAGATATCATATTTGATGTCAAGAGAGAGGCTGCCATCATCAAGGTATGGCAAAACACTGGTTCTATAGTCTTCATTGAGGATGAAGGAGTAACAGCTCTGCAATGATCTCCACACCAGCACCCCGCAAACCTTGCGCATTCTCTCCGACTTCAGGCACACCCCCGCTTTCGCACCATCCATTTTCAGGAACCTGTACGTCGAAAGTGTGTTACGTCCATGATTCATATCACACGAATATAGGCTAGATTGCACCGTCAGTCTTTCAAATTAATGCATTATACACGATTAGTCTTTCATCTTTAAAAATTTCATGAATAGTTCTTCAACTCACGTTAGCGTTCCATTAACTTTGTTGTTAATCCATGTATTGTTTTTTGTTCATTTTTCATTATAAATACATACGAGGAATCCTCGTTTTTCATACACTTAATACTATTGACTTACACTTACTATTATTAGTCCAGTTTTTTAAATAAAATTTTTGTCAAGTTTTGACTAAAGTGTTTGTCATGTTTGGACTTTCTGCCATCAATAAAAGTTAATCTTTGATGCATAATTTTAATTAAAATTGTATTGAAAAAAATATTTACTCTGTTTTTATGAAAAATCAAAATTTGACACACTTTAGTACGGAGTGAGCATTAAATAAAATTAGACCAATAAAAGCAAGATTAGCTTATTATTATTACAAAAGTTAGATTTATAAAAGTAAGAGTAACTTATTATTATTAAGAAAATGAACCAACATGAAGTATGACTTAATTGTATGAAAAAAGAGGATTTCTCACATGTATTTATAATGGAAAATGGAAAAATACATGGTTTAACGTAAAGGCCAACTATGTAAAGCTAATTTTACTTGAAAGACTATTCATAAAATAATTAAAGTTGAATGACTAACCGTACATAATATATTGACTTGAAGGAGTAATGATGCAATTTAACCACCGAATTTATACAAGTGCATTCCAACTCGATCTTTCACGCAGATAAAACGGAAGAGAAAAGGACTAAAGTAGGAGTAAAACAATGAAAATATACCAAAATAGGACTTCCATGTTTTACATTACAAAAAAATACAGTAATGGGTACGTGTACAGTGCCACATTATTACCTCCGCATTACTACAGTGCGAACTCCAGTCCTAATTTGGTAGTTTTTTTTATGTTTAGGGTAATGTCTAATAAAATGGAATGTGTATTTCCTAGTTCCTACCCCTAAATCCCTTATTTTCTCCTATTTGGTAATTGGCTAGTTTCCTAATCGCCATAATAGAGAGATGTAGCAGGGGGTTTTGGAGGGATTAAGGATTTAAAGAATAAGAACCATTTTCAAGTCCAGATCATCATGGGTTACACCAAACTCACCAATGTTAGGTTAATGTCGAAAACAGGCCCGTTTTTTTTAAAAAAAAATAGAATTACCTGTCTTTAAAAATGGCAAGGCATGCGTAGGAGAAGTTGTTCATGAGAGTGTTAATGATGTCGTGTTCGCCGCCGCGGGCTGATGAGAAGGAGAGGGCATGGAGGGAGACGATGTCTCCTGCGTAGAACTTCGCCGCGGGGGTTCCGTCCCTTGTTTGCCCGGCGTATGCGTCATAGAACCCATATTCTATGACTTTGGCCATGCTGGAAACATTATTGCTTAACATTGGAAGCTGCATGTATGTGAAAGGAGGAGGAATTGAAGTTATATTACAAGACAAAAAAAACAGAGAAGAGATAATAACAAAGGGCATTAGAGATGAGATGTGAATGGAGGAATTGGGGACTTACAAGAGAGGCATTGAGCAAATCTCTCCCATTTTCACATGACCTCTTTATCCATGCTCCATACCATACAATCTATATATGCACACACACATATATAAGCCAAGGAGCATTTTAATTAATTAGTACTCTCTAAACCATTTTTACTAATAAGGGTCATATATATTTAGACAAATCAGATTCTTTAATCCTAGTTTGGGCTTGAAGAAATATGATATCTAACTCCTATGCTTAGACAAATCAACTTTCCTTATTGATTTTTCCACTTTACCTCTATTTTTTCTACTTTAGGAAATACTATATGAACCATTTCTTGAAACCTCTTTGGTCAACAAGGCCACATAGGTAATGTTTATTTTTGATCGAGGCTTGCACGTGAACATTAGCTTTTTTTTTAAACATGACGGCAGCAAGGTTCGAACTATGACTTCTAGGCCATGCAAGGTTTTGGTACCACGTGTGAACAAACCAACTCAACAAAAAGCTCAAACTTGTGATTATTGTAGTCCATAAAGGTTTTATATTCTAACGTTGCGTTCGTAGGCCTTGAAAAAGTGAAACTAGTTTTGGAGAGGCATGTATGTAGTAAAAGTGAATGAGAGGGAGGGAGGGAGGGAGGGAGTACAAACAAGATTGCCATGGATGCTTCTAAAAAGAGAAGAGTGGATACAGCCAAGGGTGGTGTGAGTGGTGGAGGAGAAGTGCTTGAGAGAGTGGAGAAGATCATCAACTATTACTATTGTTGGCCTCAATACAAAGAAGCTCAGATCCAAGTTCCTCCCATTCAATGGTATGAAGCATCCCACCATTTTTATTGGATAAATAGATAGATAGATAGATACTTCTTTCTTCTTGATCAATTATATTGCAAAGATATTAATTATATGATGAAAAGGGAGTATTTAATCTGGTAAATATGAGAGGAGGAGGAGTAGTATGATATTGACCACAAAGTTTGAATTGAAATGTTGGGTTTTCTAAGTTGGGGGAATAATGGAGAAGAGGCATGACTGGATTTTTCTTCGCCACTAGTCCTAGTTTCTCCATGTGTCCCCATGCCTGGCCGGTGGCCAAAACCCCAAAAAAATTGTTCTCGGGTACGCTCAGTTTTGTGGTAAGAATTCGCGGGTTTCATTGTTTTCCAAGGTGCACACAATCTTTGACTTCAATGTCTTTACCGACATAGAGACGCTAGACAATGTTTCGTATCTGTCTATAATGTTTCGTGTGTGTCTCTAATGTTCCGATCCCAATCAATTTACATTGTTTGGCTGAAATTATTTTTAATTTAATTTTTTTTCCAAAAATTGTATGGAAATAAAAATTAAAAAATACTACATATATATCAAAGAAAAAATAGATAACATGACTATTATTTGATCAAATGAGTAAAAAACATAAGAAAAAATGCATGAAGTTTCACCATTTTCGACAGAGGGATTGCCACTTTAGAAAATCTCAGAATCAGGTAGGAACCAGATCCTTACAATATTTAAAATTCTGGTCCAAAATCAGAACCGTGTCTATGGTTGGTTACTCACGATTTTGCTATGGGATGATGCCATTTATGAGGTAAGGTCAATGCTAGGGTACTATCTCTGTGCGTGAAAAAATTTCGACTACCTGTTTTTTTTTAATTTTAAACTAATAATTAATTGGGGATGAATAGATTACAACCTTGCACCCCTAAATTATTTGTTCTAAGAAGAAAGTAAACTACTCCGTACATAAATTAAGTACTATTGTGTGTTTCCTTCCCACCCCGTCTATTTGTATTGTTACACATTCTCTAATATACTCCCTCGATTCCAAATTAAATTACCTATTTCAATTTGCGATGTTGGATTGGAATGATTTTTAAAATTTAATTTATTTGAGAATTGAGGTGAAATTAAATAATAAAAGTTACATATTTAAAATCAACATAAAGAGTTATTCAAAAGTTAAGAAGTATCAAATGAATAACGAATATAGGTAAAGAAAGTAAATAGAGTTTGAGCATGTGAATAGCTGAACAAACAACTTAAATTGGGACGGGGGGAGGACTCACAAATGGCAGTGTAACACATACTCCGAATTTATTCAATTGTTTATAAAACTGCCAGATAATAAAAAATTGCACTCGTATTGTACAAACTTTTATTACACCTATTGCAGGACATGAAATAGCTCATGGCAGAAATCAAATATAGCCAGAATAGAAAATGGGGGACTGGGGCAAAAAGATATGTTTCAATTCATTCATCAA